TACACACCGGGGTATGGTCTCGCTGAATAAGAGCTGAATTCATGTCATCTAGGCGGTAACACTGGAATAAAAGCATGGATTCCAGAAAGTACTCAGCATTTCACAACCATGACGGATCTCAGTGTGACTACAATGATGTCACTGTCGGGACGAGTAGGCCTCGTTACAGGCGGAGGGACGGGGATGTATGTTTCCTGGCGTTCATTTACGACCCACGATTGACTCTCTGACAGAGGATTTATGATTGCAAAGGCCTTTGCTGCAAATGGAGCAAAAGTATACATCACTGGCCGAAGGTTGGACGTGCTCGAGAAAGCCGCCGCGTCAGTTACGGGCGTTCCAGGGTCCATTATCCCGTCTGTGACCATCCTTTCTTCCATGTAGTCATTGCTCACCCACACATAGACTGCAGATGGACATAACTGACGAAGAAGCTGTAAAGGCCAGCGCCAAGCATATTGAAGATATCGACGGCAAGCTCGATATCCTCGTCAACAAGTTCGTACATCATAACCCCATTTGCCTCTTCCACATGCTAATCTCCTGGTAGTGCCGGATTCGCCGGCTCCCTTCGCGACCCAGACTTTACCACCAAGAAGGACGCGGCTATAGATCCTCTCGAACCCGAGACCATACAGAACTGGACCGACATCTTCGCACTGAACACCATCGCTCCATTCTTCGTCGTGCGCGCCTTCCAATCCCTCCTCATCAAGGGAGCCCATTCCCGCCCCCAAGGCACCTCAAGCATCATCAACATCAGCAGCATTGCGGCAAGACTCAACACACCGGGGCCGGGAGTATGTGTACGTTGTCCTGATATTCGTATATAAAGCTGCATCGAACTGAGTTGATCAGATGGCTTATGGTGCGACGAAAGCAGCGTTAGACAAACTGACCCTTGTTCTCGGGACGAGTTTTGCTGGGAGAGGTATCCCGATTCGGGTGAACGCAGTGCACCCTGGCGCGTTTGAGTCGCAATTGGTAGGTCCCGAGATTTTGGAGATGATCATGGCGGAGCCTGCACCTGGTACTGCGGCGCAGGTGCCTGCTAGGAGGCCTGGATCGTGAGTACGCTCGGTATTTGGATGAGATCGGTTGTTGAATCGAGTTTTGTAGTGATGCAGAGATTGGGACGACGGCGATCTACCTGGCAGTATCGGATTATACCAACGGGGCGGTTTTGTGTGTTGATGGCGGAATATCGCTGGTAAATCCTTGAATGTTTTGTTGTTTTACAAAAAATTTCCCCCCTTGACGTTATGATATCATGGTGTTCCCGTCTAAAGACTGACTTGGTTTCGATGACCCCAAGCAGTGTAATTTTAAACAAGCAGACCATACGAGATATTCTGTGGAAAGCAACGAGAGGAGACCAAAGGAACTCGTACTAACCCATAGACGGAGAGAAGGAATGGTGATTGCAAGTGGGTCTTTCAGGATGAAGCTTGAAGCTGGAGGTTTGTACAACCAAGACAGATGAAAAGAATGGCGTCGTACCATCCCAGATAAGAACTCATACTCGCGTCGGAATCTTCTTGAGTTCAGGAGTTTATGCATCAGCTATTTTCGTTTGATCTAGTGACGATGATAACAGACCCTTGCATACAGGTTATAATCGAGAAAATTTTGCCATTGAGGCCCGACGCGTGAAGTGTTCGAGCTCGCACTATTTTCTTTCCTCTTGTTTCCTACTGCTGGTTCTGGTTCTGTCGCTTGGCTCGGTGGAAATAGAAATAACATTCAAGGATTCACCAGCGACACTCCCACCGTCAACGCTCACAATCGCCCCGTTCGTGTTATAGAATGCACAGCGGACCCTGTTCTGTAATTCCTACTGGTGGGACATTCAGGGGTGTATGGCGTAGCATCAACCTTTGCGAGTGGTACGTCTACGCCACCCGGCACGTCAATACAACATTGTTGGATACATTTCAGCAAAGGATTTGTATATGAGTTGTGTGCCTTGGACTTTCTGTAGGACTACATATAATTATAAAGAAGAGGAATGGGAAGATTCACACGAGAACGAAAGCACCTTCGCATTCTTCAACTCCAAGTATTGATCATTGTGCTAAGTTGGAAGGACCAGATACGGTAAACAGTTTAGAGTTTAGAAGACCGGTATAAGAGGACAAGAGTGACATACAGTTCTCCGTTTTCAAGAAGCTGTTCCCAAAAAGTCGGTCATCATGTCCACAGTTAATTACCAGGCAGTGTTAATCCACTGGGTTGATGGCGTCGTTGGTTATCGGGTCTCACATTACACTCTTACCAATGACACAGAAGGTCTTCAGTTCGAATCCGAATCGACTCATCAGCGGAAGAAGTCAGGTTTTTTTTTGTGGTATTTCTGGCCCATAAGGCTTGCTGCCTTGCAGGACCTTCATTCAATGACATTGGCAGGTTGAGCGACGAGCATTCATCTCCCATTAGGTTTGTGCCTCCTTTTATGCAGGGAGGCGTCATACCGTCTGTTTGGGTTTACAGTTACGAAGATTTTCCCATTCACGCTCCAGCCTCCAGATTTGAGAAACGTTCCTTGGTGCTATGGCTTCGGGCTGCATTTCCCCACGTCACTATCACTATCAATATCTCGGCAGCTGTGAAACGTTACTTAGATACTGAGTACCAGGCGTCTACATTCATCTCCTTTGATTTCTTGAAAAAGGATACGCGTTAGTATGTTCGAAGATGATTGTGATACGTGGATTTATCTCTCATCCCCAGCTTCTAGTTTTATGGTGCTGACCGATTCGAAGAGTTTGGATAAGAGGCTTCATAGGAGGACTTGGGGGATCAGATGTAAGTACAGTTCAAGAACGACACGTTTATTACGATCCTGACTCAAGCAATAATGCATAACACTTGAAGGTTCCGACATTTGTTCAATATTCGCGTGTGATGCATGAACGTTCGCAGTTTTAACGCCAAAAGTACAGAAAATTCTCCAAGACGATGCCTTCGCCGATGAACTTCGTTTTACAGAGTATTTTCTCGATTACATTGACGACATTGTGCGGGTACAACAGTAGATATAAGGTCCTCTCAGAAAAGGTATATAGAGGTATAGTGTGATACAGCCACGAAAACGCTGTAATTATGGTCAAACGACGAGCATCTGCGATATTTCGCTGAAAACATACCGACAGTCAAGCTAGACCTTTGACCCGAAATAGAAACCAGAGGAGAAACAGGAGTACCGCGAACCAGAAATATTTGGACAAGAGCAGGTGAATGATCCTCACGGTCTTCAACCTAGTTCAACGAAAAAGTTGATGCGCCAAGGCGACACAGCGAGGAGCATAATCACCAATAATCGATCCGCCTTCCACGCAGGACCAGAATCCTGTACGCAGCTAGAATGAAATAAATATGCTAGGCGTGTACAAAGCGATCTGTGAAACGTACGAGAGTCTTCGCCAAACGCTCTACGCACTTCAACCTTCATGTCCACGATTTTCGCCGCCAGTTCACGAAGGAGAGATTCTCTCTGTCGATAGTCCTTGCAATGTGCAATTGTGTTTTCGGCGAATTCCAGGGCCGTGTCAAGTTCAGAGGCCGTGGTGAGTTCTAGCCGATGCATGAGATCTTCGAGTTCCAGCCAAGGCATGAGATCTTCGAGTTCGTCGTAAACTTCGAGTACTGCGAGGATTAGGGGGTCTGTTGTCTTGCCGGGAGGTAATATTGTGTTGCCGGGTTTGGACACTGCTGCGAACTTGAAGAAAGGAAAGGGCGGGGTATAGACGGTGGTGGTAGATGGTGGTGGTAGTAGTTCGAGCCGTGTTTGAAACTCCGAAGCTAGCTACCGTTCTTTGCCGTCCCTACCATCCATTCATCAGCACCACAAGCCAAGTGTCCCCGTGAATACGAATGAATCAACCGTTTTTTTTGTCCCAGAGTATGACAGGCAGGGAGATAAGCTGAAGGATTTTGGTCGATATGAGGCTTTTCGGAGATGTTACGGTCACTTGAACACAGTATCGGAAGTACAAGTCAATAACGACGCGTCTATTACAACCTTGGCAAATTGGCTCAGGTAGTAATCCTTGAATGTTTCGGCGTCTGCTCAGTATCCGCGCGTAATGCACGAACATTCGTAAATTCGCGCTTTTGATTAACATTCACCGCTTCCTTACAAAGGCAAGAGTATTCGAATTTCATCACGACATTCGGTGCAACAGTACGCATAAAATTCTTTCAGGAAAAGTATACGGAGAATAGGACAGCCAGAAAAACGCCGTAGTATGGTGAGTCAATGTATTGGCGATATTTCGTTGTAACGTACCAAAAGCCAAGCTAGATCTTTGATCCAGAGCAGAAACACCAAGAGTCAGCCTAATTCAACGGCAAAGCTGTCCAAGGAAGGAGACAGTGACCATTTTTTATTAGATCCGTCGTATGGCTGCAAGAGTCTATCGCCCTGCTGGGTTTGAAGAAAGGAAACTGAGGAAAGGGCGTAGAAAAGGTGGTTCTGATGATAAGATGATGATGGTAATTCAAACCGTGTTTGAAACTCCGCCACCTGCTGCTCACGAGTCTGTATTCAAGGTCCAACTATGACCATCTCCGTACTGCTATGCCATCCCGA